AGCCGCCCTGTTGAGAGGGAACACTGCTCTTCTCCTAGCAGCCAAATATCGTTGTGTTTCTTGGTTTGAAAGCCACTGTATTTGTGTCCAGATTGTTTGCAAAGCAAGACAGACCTAGTACCTGCCCTCCGAGTTTAAGCCCTGGGTCAGAAGACAAAGGTAGTCGACTCAGTAGGCCATCTGAAGGAGTGGGGAGTGTTGCTGGATGAGGTGTCCATGTGGGGTCCCTGAAGTTTCATCTGGTACACTGGGCAAGATCTTGGTGTGTTAACTCATTTTGGCTATTATGGAGCTGATGAGCAGTTTTGTAATACAAGCTACTTGCTGGGAAATCCATAGTGACTTCCCTAGGAGGACAGCTGTACCTCTTCTGGCATCTGATTGGTCCAGGTTGTAAAATAGTGACTGATTCATGCTGTGTGGGTGGGCATTTTATCTCATCCTTGTTTTGGTATTTCATGTGTCCTCTGAGGTGCAAGCAATTGTGTCCTGTGATACTTTGATATTTAAGTCAGCACTGGGTAGGCGTTTGGCCTACCAGTTTAGATGCTGCTTAGTATGCCCTCTTCATATGGGAGTATCTAGGTCCAGGTCCTGATGCTGCTCCTGATTCCAGCTTCCTGCCAATGGGTGCCCTTGGGGTGAAGAGAGACCTGGATTGAGTCTGTGCTCTGGCCTTCTGACTTCTCTGTTTGCCTCAGCCCAGTCCAACTATTGTAATATGGAGAGTGAACCAGCAGCTGGGAGCTGTCTCTCTCTCTAAGATTAAATAAATAGATAGTGAACAGATGTTTTGGAAAATGTACTGTGGTGAGCTCTGCTCAGAAGAGTACTTCCAAATAGTCTGTAGGATGTTATTTCAGGTTTTGTATTGATGACCTCCTAATGTTGGGTCTCAAGAAAGCAGAGGTAGTGCAGAGCTCTCTCCACCTCTCTGATTTTACTTTCCCTGTCATTTTTTTGGTGTGTTTAACAAAAGAACATTTTTCTTTTATCTCTCCCTTTCGTGCCCCCCCGCCCCCCCCTTCCACTTAGAGTCAGAGAAAGATGTAGAATGATCTTCTGTCTGCTGCCCGTAACAGCCGGGGCTGGGCGTTGCCAGTGCCAGGAGCCCTGATCCAATGTAGACTGCAGGGACTGAAATACTTGAACTGTCTATCACCTGCTGCTCACAAAGTGTACATGAGCAGGGGACTGCCTCATTGTGAAGCAGAAAAGCTGGAACACGTCTGACGTGGGTGTCCCAAGCACCCACACTGTGCCACACGCAAGCGCCCTGTCAGATACTTTGCTGAATAAACGGAGATTGCTGAGATCATGTCCTTCCTAACCAAGAATCCCAGATTCCTTATCTGTGTCCATGATCCAGGAAAGCAAATCGTTTTCTCATTCTTGGTGTAGCCGCATCTTGATTTGTTCCTACCTTAATTTCTCTTTCAGCACTTCAGGCATTAGGAGATATGTATACTTCCAGTGCTGTGGAATTGGTTTCATGATCACACTTCATTCAGACATAGGTGTTTGCTGAGATTTGTACTGAGTCGTCATAGGGCATAGCCCCTAATGTTACCATCTGAGGTGAGGGTGTCCATTTTTTTGTTCTGCACTGCCCTGTGCTTCTACACGCGTTACAGAGAGTGAGTAGCACTCAGTAGTGTAGGATGATCTGCTTGGTTAATCATTGCACTCAGCAGGAAGAAAGTGTGTTTCTGAAACAATACCAGATTTGAATTCAGCTTTTTTTTTCTTTTCTTTTCTTTTTTTTTTTTTTTTTTAAAGAAAAGCAGAATTATGGATAGAGAGATTTTCCACCCACTGGTTCACTCCCCAAATGTCCAGAATGGCCAGGGCTGGGTCCAGCTGAAGCCAGGAGCTTCTTCTGGGTCTCCCACATGGGTGGCAAGAGCCCAAGGACTTGGGCTATTTTCCCAGTGCTTTCCCAGACCATCAGCAGGGAGCTGGATTAGAACTGGAGCAGCTGAGACTGGTCCCAGCTGGCTCTGCAGGCGGCAGCTTAACTTTCTGTGCCATAGTGCCAGCCCTTGCATTCAGTGTTTTTTTTTTTTTTTTTTTTTTTTTTTTTTTGGTGACAGGCAGAGTGGACAGTGAGAGAGAGAGACAGAGAGAAAGGTCTTCCTTTTGTTGTTGGTTCACCCTCCAATGGCTGCCGCGGCTGGCACGCTGCGGCCGGCACATCGCACTGATCCGAAGCCAGGAGCCAGGTGCTTCTCCTGGTCTCCCACGCAGGTGTTGGGCCCAAGGGATTGGGCCATCCTCCACTGCCCTCCCGGGCCACAGCAGAGAGCTGGCCTGGAAGAGGGGCAACCGGGACAGAATCCGGTGCCCCGACCGGGACTAGAACCCGGTGTGCCGGCGCCGCAGGCGGAGGATTAGCCTATTGAGCCGCGAGGCCGGCCTGCATTCAGTTTTTATATTCATTGACCTAAGAAATCCTTTGAAACTTGCATAGCTTTCTTTCTGTTTTTTTTTTTTTTTTTTTTTTTTTTTTTTTTTTTTTTTTTTTTTTTGAGCTTTAAGCTGCTTCTCCAAGTTTTCAATTCACCTCAATGAGAGAACTGTTATTTCTTATGTGTGGAAACTGTGTAGATGGTATCCTGCCTGTGGTGGAATTCCATGCTAACAAACTGTGCGTGGAAAATGCAAAACACATTTAGTGCCCCTAGCTTGCTAGGTACCATGGCTTAACAGCACAGTCCTGTGAGGGGTGCCAGTGGCTTTCCCCTGCCATCACAGCGCTGACTGACATCACTGCACCATTAATCCAGGAAAAGGTCAAAATTGAAGATGAAAATGTGGTTTCCGCTGAAAGCATGCCACGTTTGCACCATCCCAAAGTCAGAAAATCGTAAATCAAGCCCTCCTAACTCCAGGACCATTCTTTTTGTTTATAGCTATTCGTTTATTCGGATTGGAATTTCATTTCCAAATGCTCCTTTCTGAATTTTCCTTTTTTTGTTGCTTTCATTCTTCCTTATTTGGAGTTTATTTTTAGATTTATTTACTTGAAAAAGTAACAGAGAAAGAGGGAGAGAGGCTTGTCTGTTGATTTGAGAAAGAATTTTAGGCTGGATAATGCAGTAAACACCTAGTAAAGTAGGCTCAACAAAGCTGAAGAATTTTAGATAAAATAAAGCAAGGACAGGAGAACGGCAGCCTGAGTTGTGCGTGAGAGCATCGTGCATCACCAGGCTCTGGAGTAAAGGCGTGTCTGCGCGGTGCTCAGCCGAGACACTGGTGGGGTGCTTGGCCAGACCCTCAGCTGCATCCCGTGTGCATGGCAGTGTCTGGGAAGGTGTTTCAGAGCAGTTCTGAAAAAGCGGTATTTTCTCAGGAAAGCAGGGAAATTGGGGTCTATAGCAGGAGGATTTGAAAAAAAAATTGAGTTCGCTTCTCAGGAAGATATCTGAGGCCTTGATGAGTGTATTCAGACGACACAGAAAGCTGATTGCACCTGCATCCTTTAGAGGTTGTAGGTAAAGAAGCCAAATGCTTCTAAATAATTAGAAGTTCTGTCAAAACAGTGACTGGATTTTTTTTTTAATGGAGACAATTCAATATGAGACAGTTTGCCTAAGAGGAATCAGCACAATTTAGTATTTGGCTTTCTGTTGAGAGCAAGTCAGACTGATGTTTTGAAAGCTGTCCCAGTGTTCCTGATTTCCGGTTGCGATACATCTTTCATTTTTTTTTCCTATTGAAGTTTATTTATTTGAAATGCATTGAGAGAGTGAGTGAGTGAGAGAGCTTTTCTCTGCTGGGTCAGGTCCCAAATGGCTGGCTGCAGCAGCAGGGGCAGTGCCAAACTGAAGCCAGGAGCCAGGTACTCTGAGTTTTCTATGTGGGATGGCTTGGGCATCTTCTGCTGCCTTACTAGGCACTTCAGCAGTGAGCTAGATAAGTGGAACACCTTGTTTGCGCGCGCGCGCGTGTGTGTGTGTGTGTGTGTGAGTGAGAGAGAGTGAGAGTGAGAGGTGATTGATTATACAAGGAGTTTGTGTATGAGAGAGATCCTTTACAAATGTCAACTTTCTGCATGGCATTAGGTGAAGGTCTTAGATGGGTGCAGCTGTGTGTGAGAGAGGGAGGAAGCGAGATCCTTTATGAATGTCTACTTTCCAGGATGGGGGAGGAGGCGGGGGATCAGGTGAGGTCCTTGTAGTGATGAAGACAGCATGCTGTTCTCACTCACTTTCCAGTGTCTGATTTGCTATGTTCCTTTTCTCCTTTCTACCTGTGTCGTCCTTGACGGAGTCATTGTCACACTTGAGTTAGCTTCTGCTGTTTATAGGGCAGTTTCAGACCACCCTCTAATCCTTGAAGGATCTGTAGTTGAGTCTGAACCGTACATGGTTCAGCAGGATAAGACACAAGTTTGTTCCTGTGTACACATGGGAGTCTCACAAGATACAGGACTCAAGAAAAAGCCACGTGACTGTAGATTATGTAACATTGGCGCTCCCGATGGGGAGGGAGTCATGCGAATTCAAGATTCTCATCTGCTCATGCAGTCTGCCCTGGGAGAAATGGGTGCCTGCCGTGAGAGCCTGCCTGGTTGGGTGGAATCTCTGACTGAGTTTCCTGTCTTTTGAAAATGGTTTTTCCCAGATGGATCTGTAGGCGATCAAAGAGGCCTCAGAGAAAGCCTCTGCGTGCACCTGCTGTTTGCAGTGTGGACTAATGTGAGTTTCTTTTGTGGGACAGTGTTTGAGAGCCTCTGTTGTGTCTGTAGTCTCTGAAAAGCCATCTGAAAATACGCTGCGGAGGCATATTGAGGGTGGCATCCTTAGGACTCTCGTGATGGAAAGAGATTTTCCTCTTGTTCTTACTCCTCTTCAGTTGTGCTGGGTTGGAAAGAATTAGGGTCAACAGCAGATACTCAGAAGTCCCCGTTTCTGTCTCTCCGACCTCTGCTTTCTCTTCTTACTCTTCCTGGGCACAGGGGTGTTGGTGTTAATTCCTCCCTGCCCGCCTTTCCCTAGAGCCCGCGCGTGCTGGTACCTTCTACAAACGGCAGAATGAAGGAAAGCCAGAAAGAGGTGAGTGTGGAGCTAGATTTTGATTTGGGCTTATCAAGGGGCTGGGGGCTCACATCACTGTCACGCCAGAGGTTATGGAAGAGGGAGATGTGAGGGGTTGCTCCCATTTGTCTGTTGTCAGAGGCAGAGTACGGAGTAGGTTTGGGGAATCTGGGGTTGATTGTCGATCTGCTGTGCCCCGCAGGCTGAGACTTGTACAGCAGATAGACCATTGGCAGTCAGGGCCGTAGATTCCTGTTAACTTCTCTGTTCTTGCTTCTGCCATTGGTATCATCTGCTTCTCTCCTGTCCCTCTCACTCTGCAGCAGGCATATGTGAATATGTGTGTACATGTGGTAAGCTTCCTGCCCTACCTTTGATGTCCCTGGGCTTCTGCACAGATCGCTTGATAGCCACTTAAATTAGCCTTGGATCCTCTGAAATCAGGAAAGAGTCTAAGACTGCACTTGGGAACCTTGCTGGCCCTGGTTGTAGCTCTGGCTCCTGTTCATAAAGGAATCACTAAGGAAGACTTTGTTAACAGCTGCCTGGACAGGCATGTATGAGAGTCTAGCCTGCATTTGAGCCTTTAATGAAGCTAGTGTGTTAGGCTGATTGGCCCCCAGTCGCTGCCTATTTCAGAGGGCTGCTGATGTGCGTGTCACAAAAAGGTTATTGGTCCTCGCGGTAGAAAGATCATCTTGGTGCTTGGTTTTTGAGTGCCTGCTCTGTGTATAAGGTCTCCAGCTGAGTAGGCTATGTCTCCTGGGAATTGGCTAAGCCATAATACTTCTTGCCTAGGAGCTCTGCTATTGATTTGCCATGGTTAGTGGCAACACAGTAAAAATTGGTGAAATAAAACATGTTCTTGGCCATTTGGGGATGTAGTGATGGTTTGTGTCATTTTTCTTTGAATTCTTTTTGGTATACAAGAGCTTTGCTGCCACCTTCTAGTGCTGTGTCGTTTTAAGACCTGCTAGTGTTTCAAGCTTAGAATACTCAGGCTGGATCCAGCTTTGTCCACCTCAGTGCTGTTGGCCTTTGCAGCTAGATAATTCTGTTGTAGGTCTCATACCTCTTGAAAGGGGCATGTGGCATCGCTTGCTTTTGTTTCGCTGTGTGCGAGTGGTGGTGTGACCTCTTGTGACCATTAAAGGTAGCTTCACAATGCCAGGTGTCTGTACACAATGGTACAGAAGTGTCCCACTCTGAGCCTCTGGTCTACCAAACACCTTGTGAGTGGCCAGGATACCAGGAAGAGGTCTCGTTCACCGTCTCGGCTGTGGCGCGAGGAGCTGATGAGCACTTTGAAGCTGGGAGCTGCGTCTCTGCTTTGGCTTTTGACTGCTTTCCTCGCCTTAACCTTCAGGCTTGACCAGCTTCTGCGAGACCCGAACTTGGTGTCCTTTTCTCTTCTTCTCCGTGTTACTTGGTTTTAGTTTCCCAGCAACTAAGAGCAGGGGATTGATAATACGTTATACTTAACACAAACAGAAAATTTATGAAATGATTTTCTATGAATAACAGTTTAGTGTTACTGATTTTTAAGATAATTGAGCTATACATAATTTTTGATTGTGAACCTGCTAATATATATTGTTTAAATGTACTTGTAGGTTAAGTATCTATAAAAAATGGTATATATAGAGCACTATGAAGTTTCCTAAGTGACAAAAGGTGATGATGACTGACTATTTTGTACAGATTTGGTTTTAACCAAGTAGCAAATGTTTGGGAACACGTCATTCCAGGCACTGGATCGGTGTTTCAAATAAACCATTTTCTGATTTTCTTTTCCAAAACGTCCTAAGCATTTCGGGGAGGTCTGCCAGATGCGCTGTGTGCATCGTTCCATGAGCCACCCCTGAGTTCGCTGTGCTCTGCTGGCGCCTACACAGGGACTGCCAGAGCCACCCTTTTCTCGTTACGGTGATGCACTGAAAGTGAGCATTGAGGAACACGGCAGAGGAAGCCCTCCTGGCTGTAGAATGCGCTTTGCCTTTCACAAGGCCCTTTCTGTGGCTCCTGTTTGCTGACTGCACTGCACTGCTCTGCCCTGTGGGATGTCCTTGGCTTCTGGGTTACTTCAGAGTTTCAGTGGCGTCAGCATGTGGTCTTCGATAGGAATATATTTAATATGAAGGAAGGTTTCCGTGATAAACTGAAGTCTGTGTGTCCTCCCCCTGGTTGCTTAGCTGAAAGCAAATGAACCAGAAGATTGCATCTCATATTTTCTTATCTAGGTAAAGAGAGAGCCGTCCAGTCTTTGAAAACATCAAGAGACACTTCGCCCTCAAGTTCTTCAACAGTGCCTTCAGCAAAGGTTTGTTCTGCTTCTGCAATCAGTTGAGAAGAATGACAGTGTAAATGAGATGGACTGTGCTACAGATGCGTTTGCTCTGTATGGTCATACCTGTAGGGCAGATTTGCAGTGTGAAATAGCTACCAGAGTAACTGAGCGTTTCACATACAGTTTTTCCATAGGTTTTGCTAAAAATTAATGGTTAGTGCTGTAGTCTCGGTTCATCACGACCATAGCCAAGAGGAGGTGAATTTGCAGGTGGGCAGGTTTGTAGACTGTGCCGGGGTTAGGGTGTGGAGTTGGGGCATAGCCAGAGACCTGACATCTGTGTGTGATCCCGGGTTAGAAGACAGGGCTGTGTTCCTATCTCCATGCTGTAGCACACTGATGGCTCAGAAGGGGCGTGGTTGTTTCAAGGACGCAGTTCCTCTTTGCTGTGTCATTCTCATCTCCGCATACTGTGCTTCTGATCCTCAGAGATGAAAGCTTTGGGGCGAGGCTGAACCACAGGTTCCTTTGTGACACCACACCCTTGCTTCTGGCCATAACTTTTCTTACTGTCACTTCTTTCCCACTTCTGTTTGTTCTTCGGTCTGTGAATTCTTTGTCTTTCCATCAAGAATAATTTGCTTGGTAAGTACCAGGAGTTCAGGGACAGCTTATACTACTGTACTCCTCAAATGCCAGGATTCTAGACCCTGAGCCTCCAACAGTAACTGATTGGATTTCCTGGTTCTGGCACAGCTGCACCCGAGGCCTTACCTACCTGAAAAACTGGCTTTGTTTTTCTTGTCAGACAGTGACAAAGGTACCTACAACTCATAGTACCTGCTCATGAAAATTAAGTCATTTTACATGAAGTTCATGTTCCCTGTAATTTTTGTGCTTTGTTTAATGAGAGAAAGCCGTAGTGAATTTTAGCCGTTTTTGTCTGGTAGTTTCATGTTATTTTTTGTATTTCTGTTGCATAGACCACATGTCTGAAAATGGGGTGCTAGCATCAGAATTTTTGGGGATGGCACTGTAGCACAGTGGGTTAAAATCAGAATTTTAAATTTAACTTTGTTTTCTATATTGAGAAAGTATAGCTCCTTGTTTCCTTTGCCTGATGGTAGCTGTGGATAACTTTTTTTTTTTTTAATTATTAGTTTGGGAGACTGAGAGAGCTCCCACCTGCTGGCTCAGCCTCAGACTCCCATTTCTGTCAGGGCTTGTCCTTGCACATGCCAGGTCAGAGCAGGAGCCAGGCATACAGTGCTGGTCTCCCACACAAGGAGCAGCAACCCAGCCACTTGTGCTGTCACCTCTGCCTCCCACGTTGCACATTGGCAGGAAGCTGGAGTCACCAGCCAGACCGGGGAGTGGGTTGCAGGTGCTTCGATGTGGGCTGGGCTGTCCAACTCTTGCTCCCAAAGGTACTTCAAGGGTCCAGGTGTAGTGAGAGATGATAGAAAGATTAGGTTCATAGTAGATTTCTGCTTCCTCATGTCGATGTCTGTTTTGCTTCTGGTCTACAACTTTGCTTTCAGCAGATACCCCCTTGCCCGTAGTCAGTGTGCCCCAGGCAGAAACTTTATGAAGACCTTCTGTGGTGGTTTCGTTCTGGTCCAAGTGTCTGACCCCTAGTCTGCTGTGTGAAATGTTTCTGGGCTGAGCTGGAGGATCTCAGGGTCTCTGTTGGCTTCCGTTGCTTTCTTTCCTTAGCAGATAGATGAAAAGTTAGTTCTTTTTATACAAGGACAGCTTTTCAGAGCCCTTCCTGCCCATGGATATAGAGGTCTACGTTTTCTCTAAATAAGCATCTCACAGCAGGAGGGCGCGTTGTGAAGCAAAGCTGAGGCATACATCCCGTATCAGGGCACTGTTTGGGTCCCAGCTGCTCTGCTGTGGATCCAGCTTCCTGTTAATGCATGCTGGGAGGCAGCGGATGATGGCTCTGGTAGCTGGGTTCCTGCTGCCTGCACGGGACACCTTAATGGAATTCCAGCTCTGGCTTCCCCCTGGCTCAGCCCTGGCTATTGGCAGGCATTGGGGAGTGAACCAGCCAGAGGAAGCTCCATCTCTATCTTTCTCTCTCCTTCTCTGGCTTTCAAATAAATGAAAATAAATCATAAATCATTCTTATTTGCTTCATCGAACAAATGGAATTAGAATTTATTTACTTCTTACCTCTCAAATTGAAATATTTGCATAGTTTTGTCATAATACATACTTTCCATGCACTTTTTGCAGAATCTTCTCAAATGCAATGGAATTCAAAAACTTTTTTGCTCCAAAAGACTTAGCTTTAAATTCTGTTTTCCGAGGATGTTTTGTAATACCTTCAGTGTGTTTCACGTGAGACAATGTACTGCCCCACAACTCGATGTGGACGTGTTGCTGCTGTTTGACAGCGGCTCCAACACTAGGCCCACTCCCCCGGCGTGCAGTTAGCGGGTCGCCGGTATGCAGTGTTGGAGTCCTCTTGCAGTGCACAGAGAGAGGAGGCGGGTTCACTGGGGTCTGAAGGTGGTGTACCTTAGAGTTCAGAGTTGGGATGAGCAGGATATGGTCAGCTGGCGCGTGGGCCGCTGACTGGTTCACAGTGCTGTGGCCTTCCTGTGCTTGCTCAGTGAGAGGAGCCACTGTGTTTTCTGAGATGGCGCTGGTGTTCTCCGGTCTCTGGGGTACTTTGCCTGTTAACTTTGATCATGTCTCTGCCCCGGCTTGACCTTTGTGTCACTCAGAGGAACTGCTAAGGGGAAGAGAAAGTCTATATCAGAGGCATTAGGAGTGTTTACCAGTTGAAGTAATAAAACTTAATCCACCTCACTTCATTACATTCTACTAAATTTGAATGCTTTTTTGTCTTGGTATGTGAGAATACTTTTTAAATGATAATAGCTATGGGGAGGAATTGTATTTCTGCTGTCAGAGAAGAGATGGCATCTAAGTTTGGAGTGACAAGGCCTATAATATGAAACTGTATTCTCGGCTGGCGCTGAGGCTCACTAGGCTAATCCTCTGCCTGCAGCGCCGGCACCCCGGGTTCTGGTCCCGGTTGGGTGCTGGATTCTGTCCCGGTTGCTCCTTTTCCAGTCCAGCTCTCTGCTGTGGGCCAGGAGGGCAGTGGAGGATGGCCCAAGTGCTTGGGCCCTGCACCCGCAAGGGAAACCAGGAGGAAGCACCTGGCTCCTGACTTTGGATGGGCATAGCGCCCGCTGTAGCAGCCATTTTAGGGGTGAACCAATGGAAGGAAGACCTCTCTCTCTGTCTCTCTCTCTCTCACTGTCTAACTCTGCCTGTCAAAAAAAAAAAAAACAAAAACAAAAAACAAAAAAAACAAAAAACAAAACAAACTGTGTTCTCTGCAGACAGAGTTACCATAGGACGCTACGGAAAGAAATTTTTGTTTTACAGTTTTACCTCTTATTCTGTAGCATAAGCCTTAATATTGTGGAAATTTAAATAGATGATCCAGAAAAGACCTTTTATTTTCTTCATGTTTATATTGATCCCCATGAAGTGATTGATCTTCCTGAAATGTTTTAGTGTAGTAGATTCATATCAACAAATAAGGAAAAGAAAGAAAAACTGAAGTTCCAAGCATTTTTCTAGAACTTTGAGGTCTGTGACCTCTTAGTTTTCACAATTTATGTAAATTGAGCATTATTTACCCTATTTTGTTGCATTGTCTTAGGCCTGCCAAGTGACTAGTCTGAAATAAAACACGGGTCTGGGGTGGGCATTATGGGCCAGCTGCCATGTGGGCTCTGACTGGTGCTGGTGCACCTGGGGGGCAGTGTGTGATGCTGTAAGTACACAGCCCCTACCACACAGGTGGGAGACCCCAGTGGAGTTCCGCTCCTGACTTCAGCTTGGCCCAGCCTCTTGTGCGCATTTGGGGAGTGAACCCATGGGTGGAAGATGTTTCTTCTCCTTTCTCTGAAACTCTGCCTTTCATTTAAACAAACATTTTTTTTAAAACCACAAGTCTGTAATTTTGTGGCTCCTACTTTGTTTACTATTATGTGTGGTTAGAGAAAATAGAGAGCTGTGGGATGAAAATAGACAATGTAAACATCTGGTAGGATTTTAGCATCATTTATTTTACAGAATGTAACTAGCATTATGAAGTAGAAGTCAGTATACCGTCCTTTGTGTTTTATTTGCCATTAGTATATGGATTGTCAGTGTGTTTGTTTCTGCTCCTTGGAACGTGCCTGTGTGTGCTTTTTGGAGGCTTATGACTTTGAGTGCGTGAGGTGTGCTGCTTGTATTTGAAGCTGGCGGCCTTGAGAGCAGTAACTGAGAGGTCTGCTGTCTTTGTTAGACGCTGGACAAGCCCAGCAGGCTCACTGAGAAGGAACTTGCGGAGGCCGCGAGCAAGTGGGCTGCTGAGAAGCTGGAGAAGGCGGATGAAAGTAACTTGCCGGAAATTTCAGAGTATGAGGTAAGGTGAACGCCGAGTGGAGTATGACGTAAGGTGATGTAAGGGGACCTGGAGTCACTTCAGCACACACGTGACCGCATCTGCTCATCATCTTGTGTCTCAATGTCTCTGATCGTTTAGAAGTACAAGAAGAGCAGGAATAAGGGCTGTAGACCACCCCCCCCCCAGGTGCCTGGGTGCATCTGCTCACGCACTGTAGGCCAACCGCTGACGCTGGGGTGGAAGGAACAAGCAGGTGTTAATTGCCAGAGCTCAGGACAAGGAGCTAGGGAGCCACGGATCAGTCACTTGGAACCTGGAGCTGAGAGGTGTGAGTTCAGCTCATGTGCAGGTCTCTGATTGGGCCACAGTGCTGGCGATGCTCCTTTGGTGGGTTAGAGATGCCATGTTCTTTGTGGGAACTTTGATGATGGTAAAGCAGGCTCTGGTCTGTGCGCCTGTAGTTATTTCCTGGGACCTCGGGTTCCTGAGAATACCCTTCATATGAGACCCTGGAGATGAATGATTAATGACTATCCCTCCCCTCAGTGTGTTATTTTTTTTAAGATTTATTTATTTATTTGAAAGAATGACACAGAGAGGAGAGAAACAGAGGTCTTCCATCTTCTGGTTCACTCCCAAATAGGCTGCAAGGGCCAGAGCTATGCCAATCCTAAGCTAGGAACCAGAAGCTTCTCCCAGGTCGCCCATGTGGTTGCAGGGGCCCAAGGACTTGGGCCATCCTCCAGTGTTTTCCCAGGCCACAGCAGAGAGCTGCATCAGAAGTGGAGCAGCCTGGACTCAAACTGGCATCCATATGGGATTCTGGCACTTGGTGACTGCAGCTTTACCCACTACACCACAGCACTGGCCCCGAGTTCCTTTCCAATAAGAGGTTGATTTATAGATGTATGGCAGAGTGTTAAAGGAGGGAAGCTGAGAGCTTGTGGGAAAGAAGGTGCTCATTGGATCTGGTTCTGCATTGGTAGTGTTGGGTAAAAGCTTGGTTGTATATGGAGCATGAGAGAAATGCTTCAGTGGGGCACGTGCTGTGGTGCAGCAGGTTAAGACGTCTCATGAGGAGGGTTCTGTCTACTCTGGGTGAGATCCAGATCCCTGTTAGTGCACTGGAAAGCAGTGGGAGATGGCCCAGTGCTTGGGCCCCTGCCATTCAGGTAGGAGACCCAGATGGAGTCCTGGCTCCTGACTTGGGCCTAGCCCAGGCTAGGCTGATGTGGCCAGTTTAGAAGTGATTAGCATGTGGAAGATCTCCTGCTGTCATCACATTTCAAATAAAAGAATGTTTTTCAAAAATGTAAATTTATCTATTTCCTGTAATAGACTTTTGCTTTTTAAAGGTATCTCAGGAAATCATCCTAAACTTCTAATCATAAACTAATGAATTCAAAACTAAAAATAATTTGACGTTGGGTTATGGGCTGTGTTTATACTACATGTTAAACTCTGCAGATCATCTCATTAAGAACTCAAGAAATGAAATTAACCACCTAAGACCTTTCAGTTTTAAATACCAAAAGACAAGGATGTCTTTGGACTCAATTTTACTCATGAAATGAGCTGAAAAAAAATTTTTAATGTCAGTTTTGCTCATATACCTTTTTTTTTTTTTTAAAGATTTTATTTAGTTATTTGAGTTACAGAGTTACAGACAGTGAAAGAGAGAAAGGTCTACTTCTGCTGGCTCACTCCCCAAATGGCCACAGTGGCCGGAGTTGATTGAATCTGAAGCCAGGAGCCAGGACTTTGTTCCAGATCTTCCCCATGTAGGTACAGGGGCCCAAGCACTTGGACTGTCTTCCACTGCTTTCACAGTCCTTAAGCAGAGAACCAAATTGAAAGAGGAGTAGCTGGGACATGAATCAGTGCCCACATGGGATGCCAGTGATAGGCTTACTACTGTAGCTGTGAAAGTAGATACACACGTGCTTGTTCCAGTAGCTGTGACAGTAGATGTACATATTGTTTTTTCTGTATCTGTGAAAGTAGATACACACGTGCTTGTTCCCGTAGCTGTGACAGTAGATGTACATATTGTTTTTTCTGTAGCTGTGAAAGTAGATACACACGTGCTTGTTCCTGTAGCTGTGACACTACATGGTTACACCTGTGCTTGTTACTGTAGCTGTGGCAGTAAATACCCATATGCTTGTTGCTGCAGCTGTGAGGGTAGATTCACATATGCTTGCTACAGTAGCTGTCTCAGTAGGTATGCATATGCTTGTTGCCATAGCTATGAGAGTAGATACTTAGACGGAAGCTTGAGTAAATGTATCCAGGATATCAAGCTGTAGGTAGATAATGTGCCAGTTCTATTGAAAAGTGTATACAATCAGGTGTAAAGAAATAGGTCCTTTACTGTGTCATCTTGGTTATTTTCTTTAATAATTTAGAATGATAGCTTTTATTTTATTTATTTTTTTTGACAGGCAGAGAGGACAGTGAGAGAGAGAGAGACAGAGAAAGGCCTTCCTTGAAAGTTGGTTCACCCCCCAGTGGCTGCTGCAGCCTGCGCACCGCGCTGATCCGAAGGCAGGAACCAGGTGCTTCTCCTGGTCTCCCATGCGGGTGCAGGGCCCAAGGACCTGGGCCATCCTCCACTGCACCCCTGGGCCATGGCAGAGAGCTAGACAGGAAGAGGAGTGACTGGGATAGAATCCGGCGCCCCAACCGGGACTAGAACCCGGGTGCCAGCGCCGCAGGTGGAGAATTAGCCTATTGAGCCGCGGTGCCAGCCTTTTATTTTACTTTTTATATAATTTTATTATTTTCATAAATTGCTGTTAGGCATAAGACTAATTTCTTCTGTCCTTTATACATTATCTTTAATTAGCAGGGCTTTATGCAGGCTTCATTTATATAGAGAGGATGAATTGTATTAGTAGTACTTATTCTCCTCTACTTCCTGTCATTTTTTGTGTTTTTTATAAGACATGTCTATTTGTTTGAAAATCCGAGTTAGAGAGAGGGAGGGGCCGGCACTCTGGCGTAGTGGGTTAACCCACAGCCTCAAGTGCCCCTATTCCATATGGGTGTCGGTTCGAGACCCGGCAGCTCCACTTCTGATCCAGCTCTCTGCTGTGGCCTGGGAAAGCAGTAGAAGATGTCCCAGGTCCTTGGGCCTTGTACGCATGTGGGAGACCCGGAAGAAGCTCCTGGCTCCAGATCAGCAAAGCTTCGGCCATTGCGGCCAAATGGGGAATGAACCAATGGATGGAAGGACCCCCCCACCCCGCCTCTCCTTCTCTCTGTGTGTATCTCTGACTTTCAAATAAGTGAATAAATCTCTAACAAAAGAGAGGGAGAAGAGCTCTTCTATCCAATAGTATGTTCCCTAGGTGGTGCAATGGCCAGGACTGCGACAGACCTAAGCCAGGAGCTAGGCGCTTCATGCAGATCTCCCATGTAAGTGGCAGTGGTCCAAACACTTAGGCTGTCTTCTGCTGCTTTCCTGGGCTGTCAACAGGGAGCTCGATCAGAGTGGAGCAGCCAGGACACGAACTGGTGCTCACATGGGATGCCGTCCTCACAAGCAGTAGCCTTCCCTGCCGTGCTGCAGCGATGGCCCGTATGCATTTTGTAGATCTCACTGCTGACCCTTGTCAGACCGTACGTGTTCTCCTTGTGTTGCTTCACTGCTCAAATACTTTTTGGCATTGGATCTAGAAAGGCACTCTTAAAAACTTCTGTTATTCCCAACATTTACCCAGGACTTGCAAGATTTTGACTTAGTGGAGAGTAGATAACCCTGCAGCCTGTCAGCAGTGTCACTAATAAGATAGGCTCCGTGGCTGGCTGTGTGAGCAGAGGGCGTCACTTGTCCTGTGTGTGTGCGTCCAGGCAGACTGATGCTGGTCACTCTGGAAGTGACACAGCTGGCAGATTGCAGTGGTGTTCTTTGTACTTGGTCCTACGTTATTAATATTTTGCTGGGAAAATAATAATATGCTAATAGTTACTTCAGTGGAAGTAGAAATTTGGCCTTGTTCCTATAATGTCCAGTCTGGTTTGATGGAATAACCTGCAAAGCAGAAAGCCCTTTGATGCTAAAATAGCATTTTGTATAATAAGGGGGAGGGGTGTGTATGTGTGTGCATGCATGTGTGTGTGTCTCATAGTTTAAAGAGTGATCTCTCTGCTTCAGGAACACCATGGCAGCACAGATGTTGATTAGCTGAGAGTGAGCAAATGCTGATGTTTCCAACTTGGCTTGCTGCCATCAGTACAGTTGTTAGCCATTTGGAAAACACTGTAGTTTATATGTATAAAGTCCAGTGAAATTGAAAATGCTTAAGGCCGGCGCCGCAGCTCACTAGGCTAATCCTCCGCCTGCGGCACCGGCACACCGGGTTCCAGTCCCGGTCAGGGTGCCGGATTCTGTCCTGGTTGCCCCTCTTCCAGGCCAGCTCTCTGCTGTGGCCCGGGAGTGCAGTGGAGGATGGCCCAGGTCCTTGGGCCCTGCACACCCGCATGGGAGACCAGGAGAATTACCTGGCTCCTGCCTTCGGATTAGCGCCATACGCCGGCTGCAGCACAGCAGCCATTTAGGGGTGAACCAACGGTGAAGGAAGACCTTTCTCTCTGTCTCTCTCTCTCACTGTCCTCTCTGCCTGTCAAAAAATAAAATAAAATAAAATAAAATAAATAAAATAAAATGCTTGAATATCATGCATATTATATATGTCATTCCTCTGTTCAGTTTTAACTTTCTCTTTTTGGCTCTAGTAGAAGATTACTGAAAATACTTGACAGAGATTCTGAGGGGTCTTAATGGTCTAAGGCAGAAAAAAAGATCTTTTGGCTGTTACCTTGGAGAAATGCTACATTTTAACGGGGTGATTTGGGAGCTGGTGTTACAAAATAGCAGGTTATGCTGCTGCCTGTTGCGGCTGGCATCCCACATGAGTACACTTCAAGTCCATGTGATCCACTTCTTACCCTGGCTGATCCTCCTGGTAGCACCATAGAGGATGACCCAAGTACTTGTGCCCCACCACCCACGCAGGAGATCCTGATGGAGTTCAAGGCTCCTGAGTTTGGCCTTTTCCAGTGTCACATGTTACAGCCATTTGGGGAGTGAACCAGAGGATGGAGGGAGGGTGCATAATCAGCCTGCCTCCTTCAATCTGTAAATCTTTCAAATAAGTCAATAAATGTGGTTTAAGAAACAGGTTTCATCTTTATACTTAACACAGAATTATTCATGGGCACTTAAATCCAATTAAAATTAGATCTCAGAAAAAAAGAGAGGGAGGAGATGTACAGTTTGGCACACTTTCCCACAGACTTAACCCTAAGGGTAAAGCTAAAAACTTGCCATGGTACTCCAAATCCCATTAAGCTGGGTGGTACTGATGCCATATTATGTGTTAAAGTGATCATATTAAGTGTGTAATTGATCATATGGATAGGATTAAGTTTGAACAGGATCACATAAATAAGACCAGGTGTCTGGTAATAATAGTAGATAGAATTAAAAAGCAGAGAATGATCCAACATGGGAAGCAGTCCACACAGCAGACTCATAGAATGACAGATGTCCTAGATTGCATTCTGGCCTAAGACTCAGCCCTTAAGAAATTTGGATCTGGCTAAAAAGCCCATGAGAGCATTTCAGGCGTTGAAAGCCGCCAACACACTGGCAAAAAATGATCTACACGAAGGATCTCTGTGAATGAGAAGTACCTGGCTCCTGGCTTCTGATCAGCACAGTGCGCCGGCTGCAGCGCGCCGGCCGCGGTGGCCATTGGAGGGTGAACCAACGGCAAAGGAAGACCTTTCTCTCTGTCTCTCTCTCTCACTGTCCACTCTGCCTGTCAAAAAAAAAAAGAAACAAGGAGTCTTCAAAAATTTATGTCAAATGCACATTATGTTCTTTGTTAATTATTTGAAATGCACAGTGACACACACAGTGACAGTGACATGCAAACTTCCAACTGCTGGCTGTAGCACTGTGGTGGCACAGTGTAATCCATGAAACGGGAGCTGCATCCAGGTTTTCCGTGTGCAAGGACTGAGCCAGCAGCTGTTGCCCCCCACTCACGTTAGGCAGCTACACTTGAAGAGGGGTACCTGGGACCCAAACCCACACTTAGATATGGCTCTCAGATCCGCGATGCAGACATCACAGGTGGCGGCTTACCCTGCTGCACCACAATATCCACCCTACTCATTATCTTGTAATTCCATTTTGTCCATGAAGTTTTTGAGGTACCTTAATTTTTATTCCTGTATGTTTCCTCCTTTTTTATTGACAGAACTGTTAATGTATTGATAGGGAATGATGTATGAAATTTTTATTTACTATTAAAATGTTGCTGTAAATTAAGAAGTGATCATTACTGCTTTGTGAGATTTACTTTTTTTTTTTTAAGATTAATTTTTTATTTGAAAGTCAGAGTTACACAAAGAGAGGAGAGGCAGAGAGAGAGAGAGGTCTTCGATCCACTCGTTCACTCTCCAGATGGCTGCAGTGGCCGGAGCTTTGCTGATCCGAAGGCCATGGCAGAGAGCTGGATCGGAAGAGCAGCTGCCAGGACTTGAACCGCCATCCATATGGGATGCTGGTGTCTCGAGCAGAGGCTTAGCCCACTGTGCCACAGTGCCAGCATGTTATTACTCTCTTTAGGAATGGAGAACATTCAGACAGCTGTGTAAAGGTAACAATGGGCAGATTACATTTGGGGTAAGTGCTTGGTTGACCTTCTTTTAAGATAATTCCTTCAATTTCATTATGCCTAAGGAGCATACAGGAAGAGAATCAAAGAGGAAATACTGCTTTAAGAATTCTTCCAACACTATTTAACATTAGGACAGAACTACTCAGTAAACAATCTTGTCATAGAACCTTAAAACATAAAAGCCAACTGAAAATGAGAGGCACGTGCACAAAAATAACTTATTAGAAGGAATACAAGAAGGGACTCACTTTCAGAATTCAAAACATCTTGTTCCTGTCACCTAGCAATTCATTAAAAATTATTAAAAAAGAAACAGGCTCAGGGCCAGCACTGTGGCGCAGCGGGTTGATGCCCTGGCCTGAAGCGCTGGCATCCCAAATGGGCGCCGGTTCTAGTCCCGGCTGCTCCACTTCTGATTCAGCTCTCTGCTATGCCTTGGGAAAGCAGTGGAAGATGGCCCAAGTCCTTGGGCCCCTGTACTCAGGTGGGAGACCTGGAAGAAGCTCCTGGCTCCTGGCTTCGGATTGACCCAGCTCCAGCCACTTCGGATTGGCACAGCTCTAGCCGTTATGGCCATTTGCGGAGTGAACCGGTGGATCGAAGACCTTTCTCTCCACCTGTGCCTCTCTGTAACTTTACCTTTTAAGTAAATAAATAAATCTTTAAAAAAAAAAAAAAAGTAATGACAGGAGGCTAATTTCTTTTCAAGGCGGAATCTACGGCACCGTTATTCATTGAGCACCCAGAGGAACCTGAATCCAGTACGGCTGCCGGTGTGGAACTGTTTGAAGACAGTCAGCTGACTACTCGCTCTAAAGCAATAGCAAACAAAACCAAAGAGATTGAGCAGGTGAGGATCCAGTCTTCTGAAGTACAGCATCTTTCGTTCTTCTCACTTTGCACATGGAGATAGGTATTCAGTACAGAGATTTCGTTTCTCTTTCCCTTTGTGTCTGTGATGTTACAGTGACTTTTTTTTGTTTATTTTTAGTCATTTTGATCATTATGGTCTCCTATCCTTGTTTATGAGATGCGAGACTTCATTTTCAGAGAAAATGCTAATCTGTACTAACAAAGCAGTTAAGTTCTTCGAGATTGGATAGAAAGCTGTAAAGAATATTAGCATGCGATATTTTTTGTATTAGAATTATTTCTTATTTTTCATATACCTTTAATCATTTTCCAATTATTAGAGAATAAAAGTAGAGAACAGAATTTAAATCCAATTTTTAGTGATGTCTTTCTGAAAAGTGTTATCTTTTTTTAAAAGTGATTTTATTTACCTAGCTAATAGACTTAGAATTTTATAGGGATTAACTAAAATGTGATAGGCTTTACTAAATGTCACATGATGTACAGGTGTACTTTTTATGGTTTTACTCTTCAGAGCTTTTAGTAAATGCCATTTTATTGTTACATAATCTTGTAAAAATTATTCTGAATAATAACAAAATCAAGACTTTCCTCAAGGTGCTAATTTTCACATCGATTAAAATCTGTCTCCCTTGCTTGGATAGGACACAGTTTAAATTAAATCCTGCAAGTTTTTTTTGTGTCACCCCTTGACAAAAGAGCAGGAAATTTTCACGCAGACCGAATAGGAAGTTGTCTTGCAAACCACTGATGTCAGAATGCTTGCTGTGATGAGCCTCGGGATGCTTGTAGGAACGTCCTGTCTTCTTTGGTAATTGGAAGGCTGATTAGATGAGAGTGGAAGTGATCGGCCTCCTCGCCTGGGTGGAGCCGTAGCCAGAAGGCAGCCTTTGGGAAAGTCCTGAAATCTGGGATTGTGCCCTCACTTGCCTGGCACAGCGCTGAGGAGCCAGTGCTGTGGATTCATTGTGGAACGAGTGAATGACTGACTGTTACTGCTCTTTGCCATCTACCTGAAGTTCTTTCAAGGAGAAAAGACACTTGGCTGAAGTATTGGGAGAGTTACTATTTTGGGCTGTTCTTTGTTACTGTTTACACTGTCTGTATCCATTATTGGTTATAGTTGATCAATATGATTATGAGACAGTGAATTACCAATCAGACATAAATCCCCGAAATCCTAGTTTACGAGTACACACTAAAATTAGTGTGAAGTCAGTTTTCACAGTCACTTTCAGAAACGTTTTTATATTTGATGTGCGAGTGTGATTGTGTCTCTATTTTAATCTGCCATTCAAAGCTATGAAAAAAATCCATGAAGACAATTAAAACAGGGACAAATGACTTGAAGGAAGAAAAATAAACCTGAAAGGGAATTACTGTATTCTGATGTTACTAGAGAACTGAAACTGTCATTAGACGTGCTATAAAATAGGACAGCAGACCTGTAGCCTATTGGATTTGACCAGTGGATCACATTTCAGGGTGCCTGGGTTTGATTTGATGCCTGGCTCCAAATGTGGACTCTAGACCTAGCTTTTGTACGAACCTGGGAAGTAAACCAGGAGATTGGAACTATTGCTTGCTTTTTATTCCATTCTGTCTCTCTGCCTTTTAAGCGCTGTAACATAGAATAAAGATTTCCTGGAAATTTTGTACTTTTACTAGGATTCCTTTAGTTTGCATATATTGGCAAAAAGACAAAAACCACCAAAATATCAGAAAACTAGTAAATGACAAATTAGTATTTTATAAACTCACTCCCAAAACTTGATAAAATTTTTGAAAATTAAAAAATAACTACATGTCAAATCAATAAATAAATCTTAGAAAATTTATGTATATTTTATTTTTAGGAATTCTATACCAAATGCCTTGGAAAATCCTAAAGGTTTGAAAAGGCTAATTATTAGTTACTGGTGTTCAATAATCTCCATATTTGTCTAGATATTTAAAATACTTCCTGTGTTGGCCAGCGTGCGGCTCATTAGGCTAATCCTCCGCCTTGCAGCGCCGGCACTCCGGGTTCTAGTCCCGGTCGGGGCGCCGGATTCTGTCCCGGTTGCCCTTCTTCCAGGCCAGCTCTCTGCTGTGGCCAGGGAGTACAGTGGAGGATGGCCCAAGTGCTTGGGCCCTGCACCCCATGGGAGACCAGGATAAGTACCTGGCTCCTGCCATCAGATCAGCGCGGTGCGCCGGCCGCAGCGACCATTGGAGGGTGAACCAACGGCAAAAGGAAGACCTTTCTCTCTGTTTATCTCTCACTTTCCACTCTGCCTGTCAAAACAAACAAACAAACAAACAAACAAATAAACTTCCTGTGTTTAAATATTGAATAAGTTGAAAAGCCATGTATAGTCAACAGCAACAAATTAAGCTGGCAGATACAGACTTGTAGATATTAATATGACACCCAAGCTCCTTTTTGTACTTATTTCATCAACTAGGTATATTTATGGATTTTTTAAAGATAAATTATACAGATTTTTGAGAATTTTTGCAAAATAGTCGCTCAGCTGTTGAGTTCCACGGAAGTCACTAAGTTGTGACATTATTGCAATACAAAATAAATCTCCAGGACAATCTTTGGAGTAATACAAATGCTCATTGATGGTCTTTGATGTTTAAGAGCCTGGTTAGGGAGGTAGGTGGCATCAATCTCACACCTGGGGATGCGATGTGGGTGGATTGTGTCTGTCACCATGTAGTGGTTACCTTTCTTCCCTGGGCATAAAAGTTGAGTCCAGGTCAATATGCAGGTGATATTTGAAAAAAAACCCCACATTGTAATCAGATATGGCAAAGAACACTAATCCGAAATCTTTAAACCAGGGATGCCAAGTTGCAATCTTGAAATAGGATATTGCTAGAGGTGAGTCATTTTGAATCTTGCGCTTTTACTTGAAAGTCCTTTGGTGGATTAGCCTCCTGTACTCACACCAATTCCTAGAGAGAGGTCACCCACAAAATCACATCTGATTCATCCTCTGGCTCACTTGTTGGCATGAATTTGTTGGAAGTGTAGGATATGCTGCAAGTCTTCACTTATTGTTACTGTGTTTTACCTGCAAGTGTATCCACTGCTTGCTGTTTGACCAGTGAGAAATTTTGTTACCAAATTGTCTCTTGGAAGGAGTGACAGGAATTGAATCATTCTGTGCCCCACCCGCCCACTATATGTTCCTCTTCTCTCTGTTGCACCTGCAGGGATAAAACTGACTTTACTTGAACTCTTGGAACTTTCTGGTATTCAGTACTTAACATGAAAAGTCTTCAAAAGGACTGCTTTGCTCTTTAGGTGCAGTGTTTGTATTCTAAGCCTGCTTTTGTCTATGTAGCTTTCAAAAGTAGATTGGATTTCAATCAGCTATTCTGGTGAGTAGTTATTGGAGCATCTCAGAGCTTAATATGCACATAAAGCGCATTGGATCTTTTTAAAATTCAAATCTTGTTCACTGAGTCTGAGCTGGCGCGTGAAGCTTGGCTTCGAGGTAATGCTAACTGTTGCTCTGTCAGGCCTACCTAGGATGACAAGGAATTGAAGATGCGGGGAGCTTTGCTTTGCTTTTTTAGTACTGATTCTGATGTGCCCAAAGGTTGGGAGCTATTTCCACCTTAGTATGCCGTTTAGAGAAGTTTCTTCCTGTTATTTATTAATTAAGATGTAATTAAGTACAATGAAATGCATCATTCTTACATGTTTATTGAATGAGTTTGGCTCTTGTGTTATTATGTAAACATCGAAACAAGTACATCGGAAGTTATTTTAAATACTAACAGTTGATTTCACTGGGCTCTGTGGCAGAGTGGGTAAAACCACTGCCTGCAGTGCCCGCATCCCATGTGGATGCCCGTTTGTGTCCCGGCTGCTCCTCTTCTGGTCCAGCCATTTGCTATGGCCTGGGAAAGCAGTGGGAAGTGGCCCACCCTTGTGGGAGACCTGGAGGAAGTTCCTGGTTACTGTCTTCGGATCAGTGGAGCTCCAGCCATTGAGGCCATCTGGAGAGAGACCTCTTCCTCTCTCTCTCTCTCTCTCTCTCTCTCTCTCCCTAACTGCCTTTCAAATAAATAAACAAATCTAAAAAATAAGAGATTATACCTAGAGTCCTAGTTGCATCTCAGATGCACGTGTTTTCATTTGATGTTAAATACACTGCAGGCCATGCCATGGAGGCTGCACTTGAAGAGCCATACAAAAGCATAAAACTGAAAAGTCCCAGCGATTATGCATTGAACAGAGCTTCTTCTCATCTGGAAATCTTAGCTGCCTGATTTTCCGCAGTGTATAGATAAGTGGATATGATGCACATACGTGTACACACATGCACGCACACATGTGCATTAGGATCATGGTTATCCAAGGGTGGAGATGAGTGTGTGAATATGTGTGTCAAGTAGTTTTTTCAGAAAAGGTGCATTGTTTTTTCTTTAAAGCATTACATTGAAAATGAGGGGGACGGCGCCGGCACACCGGGTTCTAGTCCCGGTCGGGGCGCTGGATTCTGTCCCGTTTGCCCCTCTTCCAGGCCAGCTCTCTGCTGTGGCCTGGGAGTGCAGTGGAGGATGGCCCATGTGCTTGGGCCCTGCACCCCATGGGAGACCAGGATAAGTACGTGGCTCCTGCCATCGGATCAGCGTAGTGCGCTGGCCGCGGCGGCCATTGGAGGGTGAACCAACGGCAAAGGAAAACCTTTCTCTCTATCTCTCTCTCACTGTCTAATCTGCCTGTCAAAAAAAAATGAGGGAAGTTTCAAGGATTTTGGTTAAATATTGTCGTATCACATGACTGTGGGTTGTGACATGCAGTTTTGAGTTTTAGGCATGGAGCTCACTGAAGAGCCCAAGTTTGTGCAAACAGAGGCGACATTTTCAGACATCTCTCTCTCTCTCTCTTTCTTTTTTTTTTCTTTTTTTTTTTTTTAAGATTTATTTATTTGAGAGGTGGAGTTACAGACAGAGGGAGAGGCAGAGAAAGTG